TTGAAGTGTTGAACCCGGATAGCCTGAATTCAATAACCTGAACATGAAACCCTAAGCCCTATTTCCCCCATTTCTGCTCCACGACAGTTCTGTTACCCTGACCGCGGAACCAGCGCCAACACTGAACCCACCCTAAACCCCATAGATTGATTGAAGCATCAGACTCAGTGGCTATGTTGTAGGTTTCTTATACCACACATACCCCCCCATTTCTGCTCCACGACAGTTCTGTTACCCTGACCGTGGAACCAGCGCCAACACTGAACCCACCCTAAACCCCATAGATTGATTGAAGCATCAGACTCAAGTGGCTATGTTGTAGGTTTCTTATACCACACATACCAACTCCGCGGATTCCTGTGCACACCTTGCAGCATGTCATCGGAAATCCAAAATTGTATTGCCAACTGCACCATAGTGGCACAGAGCCACGAACATGTCCGATTCAAAGGCCGATGCAAGCATAGGCCTCCTCCAGTCCAGGGGCTCGATCAGCACCTACACCGGGTATTTTGGCTATCGACCCAATGCATTCAAAGGAGACAGTCCACATCAACTCCGATGAAAAAGGACCGAGCCTGTGGTGCTGTATGCGTGGTGATGCAAAGGCTCGGCGACCTCATGCAATCCAATCACACAGGAAGGAAGGCGAGGAGAGTCCGGCTGATCGGGGAAGCGAACACAGGCAGGATCACTCACACAGCACAACCAATCGATTCATCAGTGCGACTCTCTGCATCAACGGATCCTGCACAGCCCCACCTACAAGCACCGTCACGGCCCCTACACCCCCAAACCAAACCCCAACGTCCGAAACAACAAACAGCCGTCCCTGTACACCTAGAGGAAAGGAACCCAGGGCTTCGGGGGGGAATGGGGAACCATGCCATCGTCTTCGATGCATTTTAAAAGCACTCGGTCAGCCCAGGCAAGATTGCATCGTTGAGTGCAGCAGTGTAGCGCCCGTGCAGCCCAAGTCATCTAAGGGCATCAGCCGTCCAGGCAAGATAAAAAGGGAAGCCCGGGCTTGGGGGGGGGGCTTGGGGAACCAGGAAAACACCACCGGCAGCACCCCTGGCACCCCTACTAAAACGCCAACGACAACCAAGCCCATGGCCCACACGTGAAGATGAAGAGGTCCAGCCTGGGTAGCAACAAAGGTATAGGAGGATGGGAAGGGAAAAGAACAGGACAACGAAGAGGCTATGGCTATGGGCCATGGGCCTATGGGGTTCGATGGTGTTGGGAAGTTGGGGTGCCCTGAAAACTTAGGGGTTCGAGGGGGCTGATAGGCTGATAGGGGAAATGGAACTCAATAGGCACTCCTACGGGAACCAAGGGGTTCGGGAAACACTGAAACCAAAGGGTCGAGTGAGGAAAACCCAAAGGGGAAGGTGGAATAACACAGAAACCAAACCCCAAAGAACACGAGCATGCAGGGCACTTGGCAGGCACTCCTACGAGGTCAAAAGGTTAAGGCGGGAACCCTGAAACCGAAAGGTTCGGGTGGGAAAACCCCAGTTAAGGTAAGGAAAGCAACCCAAACCCAAACCCCGCGGCTCGCTTTTGCTCAGGGCGGTGTACCGCCGAACTCCTCGTGGAAGCCCCCCCACGTCACGAGTTCGTTGTCGATGACGGTCGCAAATGCACATTCTGAAGCTTGGATCTGATGCACATACTTCAGCTGATCTCGCACAGCGCTGCAGTCGCCGCCGTGTTCGGGATCTCCCCATGTCACCACTGTGCCGTCGGCCTTTATGGCAGCGAAAGCACGACATGTGGCTCCGATTCTCCTCACATTCCTCAGCTGCTCCTGCACTGCACGGCTATCGCCACCAAAATCAGCCTTGCCCCAGGTTACGACCGATCCATCCGCAAGAACTGCAGCAAAAGCCCTGCGAGAGGCTTGGATCTGCTCCACGTTCTTCAGCTGATTTTTCACGGCACTACTGTCACCACCATCGGCAGCATCACCCCAGGTCACCACGGATCCATCTGCGCGGATGGCGGCAAAACACTTCCTATTGCTTTGGATTGCTGTGACATTATTCAGCTGTGCCTGGACAGCACTACTGTCGCCACCCCACTCGGCATTGCCCCATGTCACGACGGTTCCATCTTCACGTATCGCAGCAAAGGCCCACCCTGCGGCCTGGATCGAAGTGATGTTTCTCAGATCTTCTGATCGCGCCTTTAAGTCGTTGTAATAGCCTCCCCACGGCACCACGGACTTATCACCCAGAAGAGCAGCAAATGCATTCACGTTCGCTTGGATCTGCTTCACATTCTGCAATAAATGCTGCACTGGTTCGATGCCAATGTGCCTTCCCCATGAAACGACGGATCCATTGGCGAGAATTGCAAGCAAAGCCATCTGCGGACTAGGCGCGATCCGCAGCACGTGTTTTAGACCCTGCACAAAAGCTTCGCCCTCGTTCACCCTCAACTCATCTCCCCACTGCACAATGGAATCATCGGCAAGACCAGCAACGAAACTGTAGCGCCCTGCTGCAATCCACTGCACGTTCTGAAGCTTGGCCCTCTGTGCTGGGGGGACATGACCTCCCCACCAATAATTTCCCCACGTCACGACCGATCCATCGTCAAGCAGGGCTGCAAACGCGCCTTCATTGGCTTGGATCTGCATCACATTCTTCAGTTGATCACGCACAGCACTGCTGTCACCACCCCTGTTAGCATCGCCCCGGGTCACGACGGATCCATCGCGAAGAATGGCAGCGAAGGCAGAGGAGCTGGCCGCCACCGGGGCATCGTGGAAGATGTAGAGGTCGCCCGAAAGGCTCCCTCCACCCCTTCCACGTGCCTCGGCGACGGTCAGCTCCTCGCCTGATAGGAGGCGTACCATCCGTCCCTCCGCCATCCTATCCTAAAAACCCCCGATCATCAATTATGCTACCTAGCTGAACTAGACTTAAAACTTAAAACCCTATAGGCTCCTAAGGTCTAACTTCTAACGTTAACCTGTTACTCTCGATCCCCCAAAAATGGCCTAAGCCTAAGCCTAAACCGAGTTAGCAACAAACCCCTCGATCCCCCAAAAAAAGTTAAACCCAGGTTGATACCTAGACCCTCGATCCCCCCAAAAAAATTAAACCCAGGTTGATACCTAGACCCTCGATCCCCCAAAAAAAGTTAAACCCAAGTTCATAGCCTAGACCCTCGATCCCCCAAAAAAGTGGTCTGAGCCTGGCCTATACCGAGCTAGGGCTTATAAACCCAAGAAGCAAAAGCAGCTAAAGCAACAAAAAGGCAGCGGACAAACTGTCATGAATTGTAGTAATAACTTAGTAATAACTCTAAACCTTGAAGCCCTAAAGATGCGAAAAACCCAGGGACCCAGAGGGCACACCCCGCACAAAGTGACAAAGCTCTAACGAAGACCCAAATGACCAAATGATCAAAAGTTCTCAGCTGCTTCCACCCCGAAACAAGTCTTGACAACACAACGCAAGAGAGGACACTCAAAACCCAACCCCAAAACTTCCCGGGCAAAGGTGGGGACTCAAGGCACCCTAGTTACGGGAGGGGGCAGAGCAACCACGGCTTCAGGAAGGCAGCAACTAGACCAAGCCCCAGACCCCGAACGACGAAGTCGTCGTCGATGGTCGATGTCGTCGATGGTCGATGGCAGGCACCTGAACACAAGGACGAGGGGCCGGGGTTTCCGGAAAAGGTGGGGCTGCAGGGCACTCTAGCTTACGGGAGGGGCGGGGGCAACAGCGAAGGGCACTCCTGCGCGCACACGGACACTGAAACCCAAACCCCAAAGTCCGAAAAAAAAACAGAAAACCCTTGAGGAGCGGCGCCGCCCGAGACGAAGACGGTGGCCAGGTCCAGCCTGAGCAGGGAAGAGGCGGAGCAGGAGGGCAGGAGGAGGCAAAGAGTGCAGAACAGTCGCAACGACAAAGCCCCAAAAAAGCCGGCCCTGGCCTTGAAATTAACTTCGGAAAACCACAAGCGAGGCCCGGGCAGGAAGATGACGGGTTCAGCCTGAGCAGCAGAAGCATAGGAAGCTGCCATGGAGAAGCACATGTGGAGCGAACCTACAGTGGGGCTGAAGGGGTTGCGGCCAGGGCGAGGGTGCCCTCACATAAACCGAAGCCCGAAACCCCAACTCGGGTTGCGAAGCCAGGAAAACCAAAGTTTGCGAACGAGGTCCGGGCACGTGGCGACGATGCTAAAGGAAAGAAATCCAGCCGCCAGCGCCGCCAGCCTGGAAGATGCGGGATCAGGAGCCAGGCGGGATGGAAGAAAGCCTACCGTCACAGCCTACTCAATCCTAGCCGCATTCACTCCTACGTCCTACGACTCCACAACAAGGAACAATTCGACACATTGGAACCTCGCCCGAGACCCCGGCCAAGTGCCGCCATCAAGGGGTGGAGAGCCTAGCGGTTGTGCTCAACTCTAGCTATGCTCAGGAAACTTCGGAGAGAACCAGCTACTAGATGGTTCGATTAGTCTTTCGCCCCTATACTCACGTATGACGAACCATTTGCATGTCAGTACCGCTACGAGCCTCCATCAGAATTTCCCCTGACTTTGCCTTATGCAGGCAGATTTCACCATCTTTCGGGTCCTACGGTTGATGATATAAACCCTGCATTACCTTAAGGACCCTAAACTATGGGAATAGTAGTGGTATATTCCTTACTATGGGTAACGCAGGATTTATATCATCAACCGTAACACACAGGCTCTAACTCAAACTTCTCCCAATTGATTCACCAAGGGCCGGACACGGACCGAAACCACGGCATGCCCAGCTTGATGCACCTGCAAATCACCATTTGTAGGATTGCTCTACTTTATTTTTCCCACGATACATGCAGCTGCAGCCCCATGCATTCGCAGCCCTTTTGAAACTCAGCAGTCTTTGCGGTGCTCTGTTGTGTTTGCATGCTGTTATGTGCTGCTGTGTTGACTGCTGCGCCGTGTGCTGTCCTGTGCCGTGGTGTGTGCCATGTTGTCTATCGCACTCAGGTCTGCATGTCATCATCTTTGGTGTCATCGTCGTGCTTCTGGTCATCGTCCTTCTGCTGGTCATCGTTCTTTTTGTTGTCGTCGTCATCTTTCCGGATATAATCATCTGGTGCCTCACCTGCCGGCAGCCCGTAGTTCATGGACTCGCTCATGCTGAAGACCACCTGACTTGTCATCCGCAAATTATCCTCCAACTTTTTCTTCTCCTCGACGACATCCCACAGCACACGATTTGTCATTCGCAGCTTTTCCTCCAAAGCTGACACCCGCTCTACCAAACCACGGAGCGTCCTGGCCTTCCTGGCCCTCTTCACAAACTTGCCCTCAACTTTCGCCATGGGCTGCGAGCTGCTGAAACTTACCAGGAATTTCTCGTTGAAGATCAATAATCAATCACAGATCCAGATCCACTGCACTGCCACTGCACCAGTCACCAGTGCACCAGTATGAAATGCAAATCAAGGGCAGCCTCCTTCCCAGCTTCAAAGCTCAGACAACACAGCCATGCACGAGATCCGATATGTGGTTTCGTACGGCTTGGCTTCCAACCTGACACCTCTAGCCTAATGTGGCTGTGAGCTCAGAACCTAAAGGATCGATAGCTTGGTGTGGTCATGAAAACCGTGACATGTCATGAGAACGCTGCGCACTGCCAGAACATGACTTGAGGCACAATCCACCGGATCACAAACAAATGGTTTGGCTTCGCAATGAACCTGCGACTGCACGGCAAGCTCTACTGAAGGCAGCAACTGATCCGGCACAGCAACACTGTCACCACCTAAGCCAGAAGGACCACCCTTCAAACCAAAAACCCATCCGATGCCGCCTGCTCCACTGAAGCTTCTGAGCATCTGCGTGGCAATGAAGAAGGTCCAAACCTGGGCGAAGAGGCGGGTGGCTAAAGGGTTGGGGAGGCAAGGCCACGGGAGCAAAGTGCGGGGGGAACCGCACGCAGTCGGGTGTCCAGGAGAGGAACAACCTACAGCGCGGTCGAAGGGGTTAGGGTCGGTTGCTGGCGCAGAAAATCCCAGAAGTCACCTTCAATTGCGCACACAGGTTTGACACCTGAGAACTTGCACAACGCTAGCTCCTCCTTGGTCCGTACTATCGGCCTCAAGCCTGTATTTAGCTTCGCCATACCCTAACGTCCTTTCCTCATAAATACCAATCCTACAGCCTACAACCCCGGCCTCACCCCATCACCTGAGCAGCCGGCAGAAGTCCATGTTGCCGATGTCATCGATATCGTCGGCTTGTCCGGTTAAGCTTGGGGTTAAGGGCTGAGGCGGCTAAGGGTTATGGGCTCAGGTTTTTCAATTTTAGGGTTTAGCCACGAAGGCTTTAAGGTTTATAGCGCCGGCGCCAAAGAAACCCTCAGGATTATAGTGCCAAAGCTCCAAAACCCTGCAGAGCAAGGCTATGGATTGTGGGAGTTTGGTGTTTGGGGGGCCCTGAAGCCCTTAGCAAAACCTTTTATACACGAGTATCCTGGGACAATGGTTGTGGCCCAATGGGAACCTACTCTCCTGGACGGTCCTTCAGTTCTGCATCATGCGATGCCAGCTGCAGTGCCACTCCACGCCAAGCCATTGCACAGCGTTGAGAATTGATGAGCTCCTTCTCCAACCTCACGGAAGACCCGGAAAAGTTCATAATGTGCCCCCTAAAGATAGGCAAAATGCATACATCCCTGCTGGCCTTGCGATCTCCTGCTTGAATGGAGCTGCCGCCTTGGCCTGCTGTTCAGCCCATGAGCCGGCTCTGGAGCCAGGCTTGTGGCGACCGCTCGGCCGCTTCGGCGGCATTGCATGAAAAAAAATTAACTTAGATGCAGCGAAAACGTTGACAAATGATAAATGAAGATATCAGCTGAAGCCATATCATGCTCATTCGTTGTGGGAAACCCCTCAAGAGTTCTGAAGTGCTTTTTCACCAGGCTGATGAAACCTCTTCATGGTCCTACGACCAAAATTGAGTGGGTTTGACCATCTGAACACTTCACCACGTGTTGCCATCTTGCCGGCATCAAGAAAGGGGTGACGGTCAGGATCAGGGTATGCAAAGGTGGTGCTGTAGCACAGCTGCAACTACTACTATTAATAACAATTCTAATACTACTATTGTTATTATTACTACTATTATTACTATTATTACTATTATTGCTATTATTACTATTGTTACCATTATTACTATTATTACTATTCTTACTATTCTTACTATTCTTACTATTCTTACTACTATTACTACTATTACTACTAGTACTACTATTACTAGTATTACTAGTATTACTAGTATTACTATTCTTACTATTATTACTATTACTATTACTATTACTATTACTATTACTATTACTATTACTATTACTATTACTATTACTATTACTATTACTATTACTATGACTATGACTATGACTATGACTAGTACTAGTACTAGTACTAGTACTAGTACTAGTACTACTACTACTACCTACCACCACTGACTGTAATAATCATATCATATCAGACCAACTTCAGTTGTAGCTACAATGCTACTACTCTTGGACTATATTCCATAATGGAATACCATATCTAATTGTAATACTGAGTGAAATGGCATACTGACAACCGGTGGCCATGTTGGTCTGCAGACTGCTTTGCAACATGACTCGATATTGTGATTTAGAGTGGTAATATGTTTCAGAAGTACTGTAATTCCTGGAATACTGTTCTGCTAATACTGACCCTAAATGCTTATACAAAAGACTGATACACTGATCCCGGCACTGATCCCGACGCCACCGCTGTCATTCTGGAATCTCCCAGCTGATCAGTCTGCATTCAACAAGGTCAGTGTCCGGATGTGTAGGGTTCGGAGTTTAGAGTTCCGGGCTTTTGGTTTACTGTTTAGGGCCTGAGTATCCTGGAATCCTGATATGGGGCTCAGGGTTTCGGGCTCGTAGTTTAGAGTTTCGGGGCCTGGGGTTTGGAGTTAGGGCAAACCTGTCTAAGTATCCGGATGTGGGGCTCAGGGTTTCGGGCTCGTAGTTTAGAGTTCCGGGGCCTGGGGTTTAGAGTTAGGGCAAACCTGTCTAAGTATCCGGATGTGGGGCTCAGGGTCTCGGGCTCGTAGTTTAGAGTTTCGGGGCCTGGGGTTTGGAGTTAGGGCAAACCTGTCTAAGTATCCGGATGTGGGGCTCAGGGTTTCGGGCTCGTAGTTTAGAGTTTCGGGGCCTGGGGTTTGGAGTTAGGGCAAACCTGTCTAAGTATCCGGATGTGGGGCTCAGGGTTTCGGGCTCGTAGTTTAGAGTTTCGTCTAAGTATCCGGATGTGGGGCTCAGGGTTTCGGGCTCGTAGTTTAGAGTTTCGGGGCCTGGGGTTTGGAGTTAGGGCAAACCTGTCTAAGTATCCGGATGTGGGGCTCAGGGTTTCGGGCTCGTAGTTTAGATTTTCGGGGCCTGGGGTTTAGAGCTGAGGGCAAACTTGTCTGAGTGTCCGGAAGTTGTGATCAAGTTACTGAAATTTAATCCATGGGGGCCTTGAAATCCTGGTGCTCAGTTCTGCGGGTGTGTTATATAAGGATCCTTTATTTAACTGTTAGTGGGGAGGGTGGGATCCCAAGTTACCTATCTTCTACCTTTGTCCTGTAGCTTTAGTTTACCTTCTTTCCAGCTTTTTAATTTTGTATGTTGAGATAGTAAATACCAAATAAGCGTTCACAACTTTAAGCACCCATAGCGCATAGACCTTGCCCCACCAAACCACCGCCCGCGATGCAAGCCCGTTTCCTGCCGTAGCGGGAAGAAGACACAGGTGTGCCGTTCGTCATGCCGGCCAGTCCAGCAACATCGGTTGAGAATGTGAGGCAGAGTGTGACGGGTGTGGTCATACTCCTCCAAGGAGTCTGTGTCCGTGAAGAGCCACAGGGTGTGACAATGCACGACAGCAGGGTCGGTGCAGAGCCACACAGCGTATCTGGCAAGCAGGCCCAGGTTGACCGGCACGGTCGACTCGTACTCGCGGGGGACCGCTGGGATCTGGGCGAAGGGGAGCAGGTCCACGCTGATCGGCAGGTCGTGGAAACCATAGATCGAGCTCATGTCGTCGCTGCGCTCCTCGATCGGGGTACGTCGCGTCCCTCCTGACCGAACACTCAGGCGGCTAACCAGGAGGCCCACCAAGCTGCGCCCTGCCCTGGATTCGTGCGAGCAAACAATCACCGGCAAACTGCAGCAGAGGGCCATGAAGTCGAAGGCCTCCGCAATCGTCACAAGGTAACCCACAATGGAAAAAGGAGACTCGTCCGTTTGCAGTGGGTCACCTTGCTGCATGAAGCGCCAAGACGCAGGGAGTTCAGTGTAATCGGGTGCGTCCACGAAGCTCGGAAGCACCTGCACCAGCAAGTATACCTCGTACATTTGAAGATGAAGGTGCTCGAGCCCCGAGAGCGCATGCTGAATGGACGCCAGAGCCAGAGAGATGGGCCGATGAATTTCTGTGCCCACGCCACTGACCACGGGGTGCGTGTGGAACAATTTGACAGCCATGGCGCAGTAGACTACCACCTAAAAGATCATTGCATCCCGCCACCTGGCCTGCGACGTATGTCGCCGCCTGAGCCCCGAAGCAATCCAAAGCGGCTGCTCACGGTTGCTGCCTGGGAAAGCGCCCGCTAACACCAATGTGTTCCTTTTTGAACCCCGCGCAGTCTTCCAGTCACATCGGGTGACCGTTTGACATGATGCACCGTGCGTTCACATTGTTTAAAAAAAAGGGGGGAGGCCTGGAGAACAGAGCTCGGCTTGTCCCGACCCGAACCACAGACCGTCATGACAGACAAGTCACCCCAAGTAGAAAGTTTGGTAGCCCTGTCGGCCACTGGCGTCCCAGTCGCGATGATGTGCAATTTGCTCCACCACGCTGGCAACTTGCTTAAACCACACCCTCACAGTCTCGTGTCCCGCCTCCTGCCAGTTATGGTGCAGCTCGATCACAACCAAATTGGCGCGCATGCCCACCGCCGCCATGAGAAGCATATCTATGTCACTCGGGGTGAGCTGAAACTCGGGGTCAGCCGTCAAGTCGAAGTGACAGAGGTCGCCGTAGCGAACGTTAATGTGCTGGTCCAGGCGCTTCCACACCAAAGGCAAGGCAGGGGCCGCCATCGCAGGAGCAGCGCGGAGGCAACGCGGCCGCGAGACACACAAGTAAAGGTGCTAGCGACGTATGTCGCCGCAAGTCTGAGCCCAATTGGCAAGCATGCAAGCGAGGTAGGAGCAATGCGAGCGATGAACCGAGCAGGGAGCGGGCATTTTGCCGCGAATGATAGCAGACAGAACTCTGGGTCACGGTGGCGAACC